CCCTAACCCCTAACTCTAACCCCTAACGCTAAGGTCGTCGTCGGTGGTAATGCTATGGGATGGAAAACTGTGCCCTCCTGTGGTCAAAAACGGGTATTGTGGTCGCCGAAACAAACCTTTTAAATGGGAATTTAAGATTGTTTATTTTCCCCGTCTTTATTATTAACCCCTTATTAATATTTATAGGGCGACGGGAGGCCCTTTTGCCATTTTAAAGGTTTATTTCTTATGGTGGCTGCTATACCCGGCGTAGGCCACGTGAGGGCACTGTTTCCTTCCCTTAGCGAGAGCGGCATTGAGGCCGTCGAAAAGGTCTACGATGGCCTCGATGGTAATGTTATGGGACGGGTATTGCGGCAGCCAAGAGAAATAAGCCTTTTTAATGGGGTTTTAAGTTTACGGCCTAACTCCTTGATCGGACGTGGAGTCCGCCGTGCCCAGAAGGTCGCCGCAAAAGGAAGTTGCAGGACGACTAAGAAGGACAGACCGGAAAGCGGCCAAGATGGAAAGGTCGTTTTTCAAAGGCCCTGGCGGACGGCGAATGTGAGCGGACAGGAAGTCCACCATGCTGAGAAGGTCTTCTGTGAAAGAAAGTTGGGGGAACGATTAATTACGAAGGACCGGAAGTCGGCCATGATGGAAAGGTCCTTTTTCCACAGGGCCTGGGGGACGGCCGATATCGAGGGACAGGAAGTCCGCCATGCCGAGAAGGACTCTCGGAGATTACTCGTGAAGAACTAGCCGGCGGAGATGCGCAGAAGGCCGAGGGAAGCGGCCCGTCCCTTTCGGAGGAGCATAGAGTGTCGACGCTTTGGCTGACGCTCTGCGCTTTGGGGCTTAGCTTCTCGGTGTCCCAATCCTGGGCAAAAGGCCTACGAGGGCCTCAATGTTAATGCTAAGGACGGGAAACCCTGCTCTCCTGTGGTCAAAACGGGTATTGCTGCCACCGAAAGAAAAATACTTTTTAATGGCATTTTAAGGTTATTCTTCTCTATTTTTATTCTTAACGCCTTATTATTAATATTAACGTGGCGACGGGCGGCCCGGTCGGTGCGACACGGGCGCAGAAGAAATCCTCGTTCGAGTCTTAAAAAAATGACAGTTCACTTATTTCCACCAGGCTGCTCCTCAGTCGACTGCAGGGCTGGCCCGGTTCCCTTGCGACCCTGCCAGGCTTCTTTTTCCTCTTCTTGCGGCCGTGCTATTCGGGCCTTCCCAACCCGCGGGCCCAACCTAAACAAGCAGCTCCAAAAGTCGCCCCGGCCGTGCGGAGCGGAATAAGAGGACGGGGAAAAGCAGCGGGACGGAAAGAGCGAGAGAGGAAGGCGGGGACGGCTGCTGGGAGCGGACAGGAAGTCCGCCGGGCCCGGAAGCTCGCTGCTGCAGGAAGTGGGAGGGGAGAACGGCGGAGGAGGGCGGGCAGGAAGTCGGCCATGCCGAGAAGGTCGTTCTGAGAGGAAGTGGGCTGCGGCCGTGGCCGGGAAGTCCGCCTGGGGCCGTAGCGAGAGGCGGCCGAGCACATGGGGGGGCGGCGGCGACGGGGGAAGGGCGCCGGGGACGCGCGGCTCCCACCTCCCTCCCCCTCCCCGTGGGTCAGCCGCACCGGCGACAGCAGCGCCGCCAGCAAGAGGTCCGCCGCCGCCCTGGGCTACACCTCGGACCGCTTCGTGCTGCAGCTGCTGCCCCGAGGCGGCCCGCGCCGCGCCCCCGCCATCCACCGGTGAGGCCCCGTCCCGCTCGGCGCTTCCGGGGGAACGGGAGGGGGGGCGCCCTGCGGGGCGGGGCTCTCCTCTCTCACGCTCTCCCCTCCCCCCTCCCCCCGCAGAGGCTACCACGTCCGGGCGCGAGCGGTGGAGCGGAGCGTGCGGGACTTCCTGCTGGGCACTCGGGGCCACCCGCGCAGGCAGGCAAGTTCGGCCCCCTCCCCCTCCCCCTCCCCAGCCCTCCGCAGCAGCCCCGCCTGACCCCCCCCCTCTCCCGCTCCGTCCCCCCGCAGGTGGTGTCGCTGGGCGCCGGCTGGGACTCGCTCTACTTCTGCCTGAAGGCGGCGGGGCTGCTGGCGGGAAGCGGCGGGCGGTTCTTCGAGGTGGACCTCCCGGAGGTGGCCTCCCGCAAAGCGGCCCTGATCTCCGGCTCGGCGGAGCTGCGCGCCTTGGCGGGAGGCGGCGTCCCCGCGGCTCTCGGTGGGTATGCGGAGGAGGGAGGGGAGAGAGAAGGAAGGGAGCCGTCTGGCCCGGCACCCGAGCGCCCTTCGCCTCCCCTGCAGGGAGCGTCAGGTTTTCCGGGGAAGATTACCGGCTCCTGGGCGTGGATCTCTCGGAGCTAGCTCTGCTGGAGGGGGCCCTGCGTGACGCCGGCCTGGACCCCGCGACGCCCACCCTGATCCTTGCGGAGGTGGTCCTGCCCTACATGGAGGTCGAGAGGTTCGTGCTTTGGCCGTTGCAGCCCACCTGAAAGAGAAGCTTTTATGTTAAATTTCAGCAGGTTGTGACTTTCCAAGGTTAGAATCACTTGTTGTGTTTCACATCCTAGATTTAATGTGCTTTGTAAGGAGCCTTGCAGCCTGCCGGTTCTGCTGTATACTTTTTGTTTTTGCATTCCACTGATTCAGCGGACATAAGTACCATGCAGTTTACCAAATAGTTGTCATTTTGAGCTACAGACTTAGAGCCAAGCAAACTTCCCAGCCAGATTTTCATACCTGAGAGTCCCTCCCGTCAACAATATTTTGAGCTTGAGGCCAAGACATTAATTCCCATGCTCACAAAGAGGCCATTGGAAATTTGCTCCCTGCATCAAGCATTGCTGAAAATTGCAGCATAGCAGCCCTGAGATAGAATAGGAGCAGACTGGAAGCCCCCAAGCCCCCCCCCCCCCCCCCGCAGACAGACACTGGTTGCTGCTTCACAAGGTCAAAATAAGGTAGAGCACAACTGTCCTTAAAAAAAAAAAGTTTTTCATTGTGGCAGGAGTTTTGGATCCATGGATCTTTCTGCTTTCGCTTTAATCCCGCTGCATCTCCTTAGAGGATATTCAGAACGAGCTATTTCCAAGCTTTGCCAGCTGGGATCTCCTGTCACGGTCTTCGATCCATCTCCAGCAAACGTGAACAGTCCTGAAGCTTGTGGGGACTTGGACTTGCTTGCGGGGGGTGTCAGATGGCTCCTTGGCCTCCAGTTGGGTGGCCTGGGCTGTTCTTCCTTGGTGCCCTTCACCCTCTTTCTGGTTCATTCCAGGTCAAATGCTCTGATTCAATGGGCAGCCGCGCACTTTCTGAGCGCCTGGTTCATTCTGTACGAGCAGATTCATCCCAGCGACCCGTTTGGCCGTATCATGCAAAATCACTTCAGCCGCCTACAGTCTCCGCTCCGCTCCCTAACCACCTACCCAGACTGCAAGGCCCAACAGATGCGCTTTCTCCAGAGGGTGGGTGTGAGCCTTGGACTGGTGGAAGGGAGACCGGAAGGGGCAAATAGGATGGCCGTGCCTCGGGCTTAATGCCCTGGCTTTCTCTTTAGGGCTGGACGGAATGCCACATCATGGACATGAACGAGTTCTATGGGCGCTTTGTTCCTAGAGAAGAGCAGAAGAGGATTCAAGCTCTGGAGCCCTTTGACGAATTCGAGGTTGGTCTGTCTCTGGTGTAGGCAGAATGTGGAGAAGGGAGGCGAGGTGGCTTGCAGCTGGCCACGGGGACAGGAGATTCTTTCTCCGTGGCCAGTGTGGAAATGCACTGGGATGGCAGCAGAAGAGTATTTTCATCCGGTGGAATCAAAATATGATATACAGGATGTTGGCAAAGTTTTAAAGTAGTATATAAGATAATTCCTACTTGCATTTGAGCGTGCAGCAATATTACATTTAGCTTATAGAAGCGCACAAGGTGTTTCTAATCTTGGTTTGCTGCCAATCTACTTCCTGAAGTCCTACCGTCTTAAGATCCGGTCTTTTTTTGGGGGGGGGAACAAAAGGCCCATTAGAGCTTATTTTGGCGGGGATATCTTATTTTGTGGCCGCCCGCCCGCCAACAACTATCCCACTGTCTGGTTACTCGCATGGGGCAGGAGGCCACAAGGCGTGCTGGTGCCACCGCACAAGCAACAGCAGAATTCCCCCCCCATGACGGCCTGGCCAGTGCCACCTGCGCGCTATTCAACCCTAAGCGCCTAGACAGGTGGGCTTAAAGGAGATGGGGCACTGCCTCGGAACTGCCTCATGCTTGCAGCTCCGAGGGGAAAGCAGCGGCAGTGGAGAGCTCCGCATTGGGCTGCACCATTGCAGCCGCCATCCCCGTCTGGAGCCTCTGCCTCCTTAGCAGCCTGAGGCTCCAGTCTAGGCGCTTAGGGTTCAGTAGCACACAGCTGGTGCCGGTGCGGCCATCCCAGGGGGATTCTGCTGGGCCTGCTGCTGCTGGGCCATGCCCTGCCGCTGCCTCCTAAGCCAGCAAATCGCTCCATTTCCAAGTGACCCATTTGCCAGAAGACGAAGCTTCCAGTCTCCCTCTGGGTGAAAAGTGTGGTATGCATCCGGATCGCCTGCCTCTGCCTCCCCGCTTGGACTTACCTGTGTTGCACCAAGGGGCCGGCGGGCTGCGGCTGCAGCCGGACCCCATCGGCCCCCGTGCACTCGCCAGCTCTTGTCCTGGCCACGCCCACCTGCCTGGGCGTATTTTGGGGGCAGGGCTTATATTAGGCCCATCCCAAAAAATCAGGCTAGGGCTTATTTTCTGGGCGGGTCTTATTTTCAGGGAAACACAGTAGGAATGCCCCACTGTGTAGAGGTGTTTGTTGTGACTGAGAGTCTGTGGCCGCGGGTGACCTCTCTGTTCTTCCAGGAATGGCACCTGAAGTGCTCCCATTATTTCGTCCTGGTCGCATCCAAGGGAGAGGCCTCCTTTGCACCTCCTGCGTTTTCCAGGACGGAAGGTAAGA